AATGTTCAGATATTACATTTTAATAATGGAATTCCCCTCATGAATTGCTGTGTACACTTCCCCTGGCTAAAGTCACTCAAAAATGTGRGATATTCTGTCCAGGCATGATGGAGGGTGTGCCCTTAGGAATGGAATGTGGAAGACTAGAGAGAAGTTATCCTTCCCAGATGTTGCTACTGGAGTTACAAAGTCACATCTAGCATATCACTTTTAGACTCTCATTCCTGTTGACTTTCCAAGACACTGTTTTCCTTTTTGACTTTCTTTGTTACTAGATCAACTTGCATTTTTTTTTTTTTTTTTTTAGAAAACCCATCAGGAGAGGTCCCAAATTTATAACACTGGACATCTGGGGCACTCCAGGACTCCACATGCTGCCTTTGCAAAACTTCCATGGGAGCATAACAGGCCCTCAGCAACACACTTAGCCTCCCTCCCCAAAGCCTTTTTTAAATTTTCCATAGTATTCAAAACATCTTGAGGTAGTATGCAAATAACTTCAGATATACCAAAGAGTAACTAAAGTTACCCCTGTGACTCATTATAAAATAAATGGTAGGGACTTGAATTATGTCAGAATTCAAGTAAGGAAACTACTTTAAATGAGCCTCACTTTTTATGATGCTAGGCCCCTAATGTAAAATTATTTCTTGACAAGACAACTTCTTAGAGGATAAAACCACCCAACAACAACAAAACACTTCATAGGACTCTTGTTTAAACTCTACTGAACAGTCCCCTGACCCAATTTAATAAGATATTTCTTCTCTGCTAAGAAGAAGAGTAAATTGTGCTTCATGGCTTAAAATCTTACATGTAGTATCAAATAGCAACTGAATGCCTATGTGACTAACTCTAAACTGACCAAATGGTTACTTAATTAAAGACTGACTCAAAAGACAAAAAAAAAAAATGATTTCTATTCTATTCTAGGATTTGGCAATGTATGCACAAAATACTCTTGTGTGTACTTACTTTTCAGTTCCTATCCCCAAATGGTTTCTATCCTAGAAAGGATTTAAATGTTATTCAAAGACAATGATGAAATGAAATGAAATAGCTCTCCATTGACAAGTAAGCTGAAAGCAAGAAAATGTTTTAGTGAGTAGTAATTCTGGTTTAACTGCTGTATAAGTGGTTCAGGTTCTCTCTCTCTCTCTCTCTCTCTCTCTCTCTCTCTCTCTCTCTCTCTCTCTCTCTCTCCCTCTCTCCCTCTCTCTCTCTTCCTCTCCCCCCTCCATGTGTGTGGGAGTGCCATTGGTGGGAGTGGGGGCAGCAGAAGCAGAGGCTATTTTTACATTTGACTGTAAGAGGGACAGAAACCTAAAAAATCAAATTTCAGCTGTAACAAAGCCTGGCCTTTTCCTTTTGAAGCTCATATGTATACTTTTCTAATTGGTTTTGTTTCCTTATTTTCATAATTTTGCTTTTTGATTCTACAATGCAAGTCAATTGTATAAAGAAATGCACTTAACAACTTGAAAATTTTAATTTTGTTTAGAGAAAGTTTTGCATAGGCCTGTCTTTTGCATGTGCCTTCTATGGTTGAATGAATGACCAGAGAGAGAGAGAAACCACATAATCAGTATATAAAGCATTGTGAATTTTGGAGCCTAATTTCTTCTTCATATCAAATTGATAAACATTGAAAGATGAAGAGTTACATCTTTGCATCAACTCCACTATTCCACAGATATTTCATCTGCATTGCCATTCCTTGTCTTCCATCCCAGGTCAAATTATCCACTTCCTTCAAGACCCACCTTCTTTCAGAGGACTTCTTTGTCAATTTTAACCTCTCTTAGGATGGCTGTTTTGCCTTTTCCTTTGAAGAGCTTAYGTACCCACTGTGCCAGGCTGCACTGCATCTTCATGTGTGTTCTTATTTTTTTTCCATCTAAATTAGGAGTTCCATGATTCGGGGACTTTTCTTTCACTTACATAAAATAGCAAGCATCCAATGTCATGAGTTTCATGGAGGCTAATTTAATATGTAAATGCATGGTTGAAGAGAATTTTTTCAGGACCTAGAAGATTTAAGAGGTTCCTAAATCCAGTGTGTTGGATCTGGTCACACTCATGTCTATATTTTGTATTAACTACCAACAGTACTAATGAAAATTGGCAGGCCCCACGCAAGTGTACATGGTTATATCAATTTGTACTGGTTTCTCATAGTTGAGAAATGAGAAATGGATCAGATCCTGGGGAACTTTGTTAATATCTAAAGTATCAGTAAAGTTTTCTTTTTCACCACCTCTGGTTTTATTTTAAGGAACTGAATATATACATTTTTCAAAATTATTAAAAAGTCTTATTAATGTAGGTTAAAGTTGTAAGTTTGATGATCTAGTTCCTATTGCAAGTAAGAATGACTRCTGATAAAATGAGTAAATTATTGAGCATCTGGAAGTTTAAGCAGTGTTTAAGACTGAACACCAAAAAAAATGGTATTGAATTAATTATGTTTTGAAGATGATCTTCCCCARAAGAAAAGTTTAAAATCATTTTTTTCCTTTTCTTTTATTTAAAAAAATCTTCTGAGTATTCCATTTGTATCAGGTATGAAAAGACATACAGGAAAAACATTTAAAAGGAAACATCATCTGGTTTATAAATCAATTACAATTTGCTACAGTATGTTAAGATTGATGAGCAATGGTACTTCCCATCTAATCTTTTTAAAAATAAACTTTGACTTTTTAATATATATTTTTAGTTTTAGGTGGACACAATACTTTTATTTTATTTTTATATGGTGCTGAGGATCAAACCCTGTTCCTCAGGCTGGGCAAGTACTCTACTACTGAACCACAGCCCCATCTTTTATTATTAAAGCAGAGAGCCATGAATTAATCCTGTTAGTCTTTTAACAGGTTATGAAGTGAGATGTCTGCAACAATGTATCACAAAAGAAACTATCACAATCTTTTTACAGTTCTCTCTCTCTCTCTCTCTCTCTCTCTCTCTCTCTCTCTCTCTCTCTCCATTGTACAATGGTATTTATTTATCATTTGGTGTCTAAAGCACTAAGCATAATGCAAGTAGTAGATATTCAGTTTAATGCTAACCTGTATTTTGTTTTGAATGCTTTTATATTTATTGGTTCATTTTACTTAACCAGCCATCCCTTAGCTATCATCCCAATATTTTAGACTGAAAAACTAAAGTCTGTACATAATCATGCAAATAATAAATAGTGAATCCTAAACTGAAATCCACCTATGTTTTTTTTTTCTCATTAAAGTTGTAGAAAGAGAGGGAGGGAGGGARGGATAGAAAGGGAGAGACAGGGAGAGAAAGGGGGAGATAGAGAAGAGAATGAGAAAAATGCTATATTACATGCTTTTGCTTTATAATTTTACATAAATGCTTTATAGTAATTTCTAACATGACAAAATGTAAGGTRTATACATTTTACAACTTTCCACTGACAATTGTCTTTATATAAAATCACAATTTTGCCTCAATTTTTTATATATAATCATTTATATAAAGTTCTTGAGAAATCTGTGGCTGAAATACCACAATGTAGTATAAGATGTAAAATATAGTATTGATTTAAATAATATGTCATAAGTTGAATCACTAGTGATCTAATTTTTGATGCAAGGCTGTATTTGAAAACAAAAAAAAATTATATGGATGCTTTGAAGTAAATTCCGTGTCAAAATATGATTATACTTCAATGAGAACCCTATAAATTTCAGGAATATGAATTGTTGATAGAGATTTTAGGTTTCAGTTTGTTATTTGGTCATTGAATAAAGATTTTTTTAAATGAAAGTCAAAATCAGTATTATATAAGGAGAGAGGAAGATGATCCTTACAAAGTTACAACATGTGATTCTTCTATTTTAATTCTAACTGACCATGTGATGTTTGGAAGGTCATTTAATTTCTCTGAGCCTCGGTTTAGGGGTAGGTATAACAACAATAACCTATATCTTCCTTTCTCTACTCTCTAAAGTTGTGAGGAAGATCAAATTAAATAATACATGTAAAATGTTTTGCATTTTGCCCTTTAACATGACATTGTTTACTTTATAGCATATTACTGAGTGAGCAAGATTATTCATATACTGAAATATTCACTAAGAAAAGAAATATTTGACATCACCACAATTAATGAGGACAACACGAGGACACCTAAAAAGGGTGTATTCTTATTTATAGAGCAGGAACAGGAAAAAAAATGAGCAAACTACCAAAAAAATGTAAATATAGGAATTATCCCAGTAATATTTGTTTTTCTTCCACTAGAGGCTTTAGAATAATATCAGTGTGTATTTTTTCTTACATAACTATATGACATTACTTACAGCGTAATTCTAAAATTCCTGTCCTAAAAGACCCTAGATAACCTCATAAACTTTACATCTCTCTTGGCAGAATAATCACAATATAATCAGTGAGGGTATGTGACCCCAAAGTTCAGAGTCCACATGCACTCAGAAAGTATAACAGGACARTAAGTCCAAAAGGAGACATCAGACTGCATTGTCTGATGGCCCCATTTAAGGAGACATCAATTTAACTTTAAACCTATGAGCTCCATTGAGAGCAGGGAAGAGAAGGAGATGTTTCTAAATGTAAGAAACTGTTGCCATAGCATTTTCCTTCTCATTCTTTTCTACCCTTGCTCCTCCAAAGCAGGCGCAATTTGTGCTCTACCGTTTTCTTTCAGGAGCCAGGAGCATTTTCAGAATTTAGGACTCCAGTGATATGATATTTATACTACATATTACTTGTACCTGGTCGGGAGGTTAATAAGTCCAAGGGTGCCATTAAGTTTCCCAGGAGAAACTCATCGTTGCGGACACAATTTCAGAATAAAGGGAAAAAAAAAAAACTCAGGGAGAATTTTAACCCCCCTAAATCTCATTGGACCTCTGCACAAGCCAAGTCACAACCACTCCTGCAACACAACCGGATTCCTTTCAGCACTYGCAGCCATGGACAGCTCCCTCGCCGCGCGGTGCTCTCCTCTGCAGTGATCCGACTTCCCCAGGCAGCAGCCGCCGGTGCGGCACCCGACACCGGTCTTAGCCAGCGCGTAGGGAACACGCGCTCCCTCCCGCCTCCCTCTCAGTCCCCCGCCCTTCGCTCACTCCGGCCCACTCCAGCGGCGACTTTGAGGGATTCCCTCTCAGKCGCCCACTGCAGCAGCACATCTGGCCTCTTCCGCAGCAACTGCAAGCATGGATCTCAGAGGAAGAGCCTTTCTCAGCGTCCATAGACTTCGAATTCTTCTGATGCTGTTCCGTGAGTACCGTTTTTGGCGATTGGGTGGGCAGGATGCACTCTTTGCAGAGAATAGAAATGGCATACTAAAGCCAGTAGTTAAGATTAAAAATATGGTCCTTATGTTTTGAGTTTTTTTTTTTTTTCTTTTGGGAGAAAGGGGAAGGATTTCCCCGCTGGTGGGAGGGAGCTCCCTTGGGAACCACACACCTGTGTGGCATATGCCAGACAGAGCGCTASACAGGCTGGCTTAGTGGGGTCACAGCATTAGCAAGAAAGGTTTGGCTTCAAACCCCCAGGATGTAGAGAAAAGCCAGTTTCATTGCAAATAAGTAAGAATATTTAAATGTTTAAATTTTATCCCCATTTTAAATCAAAAGCAATGGAACTGAGTTTGTTAGCGCTGGGCTAGAGAAATGGCTTGAAGAGCACACAGCTGCTAGCAGGGAACTTTGTCACTCCAAAGCCCGCAGATCGCGGTCTCTGCACTCTAGTGACCCATACGCACGGAATTCAGGAGCACTAAACTGATGAGATYGTTTTGTTTGTTCCGCAGATACAATGGCTCAAATCATGGCAGAGCAAGAAGTGGAAAATCTCTCAGGCCTTTCTACTAACCCTGAAAAAGACATATTTGTTGTGCGGGAAAATGGGACGACGTGTCTCATGGCAGAATTTGCAGCCAAATTTATTGTACCTTATGATGTGTGGGCCAGCAATTATGTCGATGTAAGGAACCCTTTCCCCCCCAGCTTGATCCTAGGGCTCCAGGGCCGAAGGGCACCCTCCCTCATGGACCTGGGTCGCCCGCCTTTTCCCCAACCCCATAACCCTGCAGGCTGCTCTAGAATGCTGCATGGGGGTTCCGGCTTGTACACCTTCTGCTCGCCCTGCCTGCTTTGAAAATAAATCCCCTTTTCTCTGCTTCCCCACTGGCGGGGGCTGCACGTAGAAAATCTAACCGCATGTTCCTGGACCTGGGAGCGTGCGCGCGCAAAGGAGTTCCCAAATGTGCATCCCAGAGTTTGGACGCGCTGCCCTTAACAGCCCTACTGGGGCCTGCGCCACTGAGGGGGCGCGGGGCGTCTATGTTCCCAGCTGATCACAGAACAGGCTGACATCGCGTTGACCCGGGGAGCTGAGGTGAATGGCCGCTGTGGCAGCAATGAGTCGGAGCTGCAGGTGTTCTGGGTGGACCGTGCATATGCTCTCAAAATGCTGTTTTTAAAGGTAACTCCTGGAGGGGCGCGCAGAAAGKCTGTGGGTGTGGGCCATAGCAGACCCAGAAGCCCTTGGAGCGGTTGACACGTGCCTCCCACTTTTGACAGGAAAGCCACAACACGTCCAAGGGATCAGAAGCGACGTGGAGGCTGAGCAAGGTGCAATTTGTCTACGACTCCACGGAGAAGACCCACTTTAAAGACGCAGTCAGYGGTGAGTGGAGTCTGGCGGGGCTGGGGAGGAAGGCTGGGAAAGTGCAGGCACCCCCTGGGAGCCAAGGTGCTGATGAGAAGTTCCTCAGGGTTTGGGAAACCAGTCTGGGCTATGCACTGCTAGGCCAAGTCCAGCCTTGGCCTGCTTGCTCTGCAGGGTGGAGGAGACCTGAAGGCCTGTGAGTCCTCTAGGAATTCCTCTGTCACTCAGGGCCTGGTTTTGTCCTCTGATTCATACCCGCCTCATCATTTAGCCTTAGAAGAAACATGGAGAAGGATGCCAAAGCTTTATTTTTATTTTCTTCTGCACCATTTTTTTCCCCCTAAAAATGCTTGAGGACAGTGCAACTATCMTTTTTTGGTCAGGATTGGATGGCTTTCAGTATCATTCTGCGCATGGCAGCAAGGCTCACACAGTGTCCTCTGTCATCAACTGCAGCCACCTTGGAGCCTGTTCTATACTCCAGGCCTTAATTTATAAGCTTTTTCCTGACCATTCTTTCATTTTGGCGATTAAACTACTGGCTTTAGTATGCCATTTCTATTCTCTACAAAGAGTGCATCCTGCCCACCCAATCGCCAAAAGATATACCAATAATACTGCAGCAAGAGAAACATCTATTTACTAAATAACAATGTATCTATCTGCAATCACTATCAAAAAGCATATATATGTTTTTTTTTTTTAAGAGAGAGAGAGAGAGAGAGCGAATGAATCTTTTTTTTGTAGATGGACACAACACAATGCCTTTATTTTTTTATGTGTGTGATGCTGAAAATCGAACCCGGGTCCCACCCATGCTAGGTGAGCGCTCTACCGTTGAGCCACAATCCCAGCCCAACATATTTAAGTTTTTAAAAATTATTTTCTTCAGTCACCTGAGCTGAAAAATAATTTTTATTGAAATCAAATGAATACATGTGTCATCTGTCCTTTTYCCACCCTTTTAATAACTGTAGTTTAAGGAACATTTTTTTCTTTTCATCAAAATTTTCTTTTCATGCATTCCCCACAATGCTTGAAAGAAAAAAGAAATGAAAAAAAAAATCAAACCTAGGCCAGAAAAGGAGAAAAAGTGTGGTGGATGTTCATAGGTATATATGTGTTTGAGTAGAGGACATTCACCAGGRCACCAGCAATCCAACATGCTTTATTGAGGAAAATGTTTTATTCTTTGCTGAGCCATTGGAAAAACCAAGTCAGTGTTTTTTTTTTTTTTTTCCTATGCCTTTGGGATCCCTATTGTTAGGCTCTATGTAGTGAAAAGAGTTAAGGTTTAAATGTCACTCTCCTTTTCCAAAAAGAAATTGCAAGTCAGTATTTAAGGAACCCTAGCTCACAGAAAATGAGTGTTTTTGTCCATTATGACTTACTGCCTTTGAGAAGCCCCAGAAGAGGATAGGAGGGATGGGCTGTTGGTCTGAGCTGAGGGGAAAGAGCCAACCCAGTTAGGTGCGCTGAGTTAGGAGCAATGACGGCACTGCCACCAAGAAGACCCTAACCATTGCTTTGGACATTTGCTGCAGCTGGGAAGCACACAGCCAATTCGCATCACCTCTCTGCCTTGGTCACCCCAGCTGGGAAGTCCTACGAGTGTCAAGCTCAGCAGACCATTTCTCTTGCCTCCAGCGATCCACAGAAAACTGTTACCATGATCCTATCAGCTGTCCATATCCAGCCCTTTGACATCATCTCAGATTTTGTCTTCAGTGAAGGTAAATTGGGAAGTGGAGGCATGAGAAAGGAGGAAGGGATGGCTGATGGGGAGAGATGCATGGGGAGAGAGCTGCCAGGGTCCCAGGATGGTACCATTTGGATTTTTCTCCAGGCTCAAGTGATACTGCTTCCCTTCATAACAATTCAAATCTAAAAAGGCAATAAGATGAATATATCAATTTTCCTCAGTGTCTCTTTCTTTCTCGTCTCCTTTCTTCTTTACCTCATTTCTTCCTTCTCTCTCTCCCACCCCATTCCCTTGCACCCTYGTATAAAAAAAGTGGCTAAAGATAATGTGATATTCTGTGCATTTCTCGTGGAGAGTTTCTGTTTGCTTTGTATGTATGCCTTCCTCTGGTTGGGGATTCCACATGAATATAACCATTAAAATGTTTAGGATATTAAGGAATTCCCCCCTCCTTGTGTTACCCACCACCATTTCCTAAGGAATCCAGCTTTCATAAAATACAGTGCCTACTCAGTCTATACTGAATACAATGCGCCTACCACCATCTTGTGATTACTCAAAAGGCATCGGAAAAGTCTCCAGTTAAATGGTCATTGAGAGAAAGGCCTGGTTTTTATTCATCTTTGTGTTATTGGCACATAACACAGTTCCTGACCCATTGCAGACGTTCAGTGAACTTTGGTTCTAAATTAATATTTTGAAGCTGTGGATTCAACTAATAGAAACTACCAAATGCCTGTATGCAGGGCAAATCAGAATGTCATATATTTAGTAAAGCAGAGCCATGCATACGTGTTCTCAAGGAAGGATAAGTTGTAGAATTTTAATGTATTTCCTAGAAAATTACACCAAAGCTGCAAGACCTTAACAGCTTTAAAAAGTTTGCTTTATTATGGAAATATTTATAAAATGTAAAAGTCAGTGTCTTTCTTAAACTGAAAATGTTAAATGTAATTAAATGTAATTGAATGTAATTTGATTTTTTATTTTTGAGGTCTAGAAATTAATTATAAAAAATACTAGGCTATGTAGAATCAGTCTTCAGGGTTCCCACTACAAATGCCTTTGAGTTTATGTTGTACTTTCGATAGTTTTTAGTGACTTTTTGGCTTTTGCTGGCCATCTGTTTTAGATAGTTCTTTATTTCTTGACACTACTTGTATTATAAGTATTACTTGTATTAGTCCCTTACCACAACTTACCCTAACCCTTTCTGGATTATTTCTAAGTGGTTACCTATAGTTGTTATATAATGAAAAATCAAATCTCATGGATGTTTAAAATTACGTACAAAGAAAGAAAAAATAAGTACAAAATAAAGACCAGAGCTCCTTTGCTAAACATTAGTAAAATCCATTACATGTAGTGAAAAAAAATTTTTTTTAATCCATAGCAAGGTCGTCCATTGGGAAGACAGCAGGGTAAACATACACAGAGTTAGTAAGCATGTGTAATTTCCAACTGTAAATCTAGTAAGCATAAGCAAAATACACTTTGTCTCACCCAGGATTTTCTAGCTATTAATTCGTATACACTGTCCTGTGTGGTGCCCTAAGGCTTAGCCTCCACACTCCTGGGCAGAGGCGGACCTCATTCACAATCACTCACTGGATCATATGCCTCTGTGTGGAAGGGATTCTTTGTTCAGGCTTCTCTTGTCTGTGTCTCTTAACACCTGCTCCCCACTGTGTCTTGTAAAAGATCATAATATTCCAGTTATTGGGAATGGATGTGATTGCTCTTGGTGTGCATTTTCAAGTTGCAGAAGTCCAGGGGGCTTTTAGTGTGTTGCAGATGCCTGGGTGGGTACGGATAGAACATGCTTGCTTGAGGGGCCAGTATCTGATTATACATATGCACATCCAATAAAGGTTGTGTAGGTACATTTGTGTGTGTGTGTGTGTGTGTGTGTGTGTGTGCACATGCTTATTAGATGTGGCTATGGTCCAGTACAGCATCAGGGTTTCTTGTGAAGAGCCTATTCCCTGCCTGAGTAGGTAATAACCCGGCAGTCTTTAGAGCTGATTACTAAATAGTCTCTATTAGACAAGCAGAGGCTGAAAGGAGTCAAGGTGGGTTGATGTCTTTATCATATTAGTCTCTTTAGTGTATTGTGCTTGACTACTGCATTAATCCCCAAATGAAAGTCTCTTAGCCCAGCACACAGCTAATTTCAGTGTGCACACTAACATTGAATTGCAGTGTGTACAACTTTGTAATGTTGTTAAGATGCAATGTCTGGTTCAGTGAATCTGGGGCAGGGCAACATGCTCCATTGCTAGCCAGGTTCCATGTCATTCTCCTGGTCCACAGAATGTTTAGAGAGTGTTTGAAGGACTAGTGAAGGAAATGTACAAAAAGCTTTGTTAGGTGGATTATTGAACAGGGTTGTGAGACTGGAAATCCTCATAGTATGAGACTGTCCATTGGGAGTCTCATGGCAGAAGGGACGCCATCCAGAAGGAAGAGAGGTAGGTGAACTCCCAAGGGCAGAGGGTTTATGTGTTAAGGTAATGTTGCTTAATATCACAAGATTGGGAGGAGTGGGGATTGGGCCAGAGAGCTTCTGGAAGGCAGCAGTAGCTTGGGGTTTTATATCTATAGGCCCTATCTTATGAATAGGTAACAGCTGCTGGGTGAGATTTCAAGGGTTAGACAAAGCAGGCAGGTTCTAAACATTTGCTTGTTTGAGCTGTTTGAAAAATAACTGCATGGGAAAAGTTTTAAGTTTGGCACCAGCAGGCTTTTGAGCTGATGGGTCTCCTCTTGCAGTGAAGAAATAAACAACCAATATACAGAAGCCACCTTTGACTCATTTGTATACCAAACACAGTTTGTAGAGCAACTGTCACCCGGCAGTTCCAGGCACCTTGTTTCTTAGTTGGGGTTAATTAACTTGCCCTCTGCAATTAATTTATCGTGTGTCCCTTTGAGGGACCTGGGAAATTTATGGTTGGGATGGGATGGGGGATTCCTTCCTGGGAGGAAAAGAAACAGCCTGAGTATTTTAATAGCTTGAATTAAAGGAAACTTTTATATATAATGTCAGAATAAACACAGCAGAACGTGAAGGTTGCCTCTGTTCTTAAAAAGATTCAGGTGTAAAAGGAATTTAAAACATATCACAAATAAGGTGGATCCTTTTTAATTCTCAGAGGAAAACAAACAAACAAACCTGGGAGAAAGATCCTGAGTTTTCCACTTACAAGGGAGCCACTGAAGCCCAGAGATTTGGTTCCTCGATAAAAGCTGCATTCCTGGACCTCTAGCCTCTCAAGGCTTCAGCTGCTCCTGCTAAGAAACTATAATAATCATGTCAGTGCAAGAGGCACCATTAATGAGCTGATTGGGGGCCCTGAATTCATGCAGTATTTTTTTTATGGCAGTACTAGGGATCAAACCCAAGACCTAGTGTGTGCTAGGCAACCACTCTACTACTAATCTACATCCCCAGCCCTTATGAGCTTTTTATTATTGTTCCTAACAGCATGAGTGGGAAATGGCATCTGTGGGTGATTGCATTTTAGTGAAAATGAATATGCCTTACTTTTCTATATGTATATCCCCACATAGACCCTGGGAGAATAATCTTTGGCAAGCTTCCTTGCCTATCACAAACACATAGAAAGCTTGACTATCCAGAGCATTATGTAAACCTGTGATTTACCTGGAACTTTCAAAGCAAGAAATGTGCTACCCTGCACAGTTGCTCTTCAGGGTTCCAGAGTAAGCAGCCAATGGGGGACAATCTGGTCATTAACACTGCTGAGAACTGTGTGGAGGGATTCAACCTGGAGCCTTGGCAAAAGGCCATGTGCCTAGGCAGTCACAGAAGTCTGTGTTCCAGGGACTGTCCTCTGGAGACAGTATAGGATATTTCTTAGGATTGCTGCCCTAAGGGGGTGGGATTTACTCACCAAATGCTATTCATCAGGGAAGGCTGCTTTGGAAATGTTAATTCTCTGGTTCTTCTGACCCACCTTGCAGTTAAATCCCAGTGGAATGTGTGGATAGGTGAATGCCAAGGACACAGTCTGCTACACTTAACTATGGGGGTATCTGACCTTTCCCTGCCCTGGTGGAGCTCTCAGTCCAGTAAGAAAGGGTATATACATTGCATGCCATGTTCCTGTCATACGTGGCATCAAACAATAATTGTTTTTATTATTATCATATCCAATGTTTACATCATGATGAGAGTAACTGCCACTCATTTTAGTAGCTTCTCAGCATGTAAAATACCTTTTTTTTTTTTTCTGAGAGTGGCTGAGCTATCCCAGAAATAATATTGGAAAGAGGGTCAAGCCCCCCACCTCCAGCTGTCTTGTCAAACAACAGAGGATGTACAATCAGCATAAGTCTGCCCTCTTGTTCCCACAGTGTTAGGAGAGTTCTGGCAAGCAGAGAGCTTGCAGAGAGCTTTGATCATCCCAACAACATTCATTTGGGGTACAATGAAGAGCTCTTACAGTTGGTCTCAGGGAATCATTACAACTTCAAAACACTGATTATTAAACAAAACACAATAAAACAAAACATCCAGCAAACAAAGCCTTACATACATCATGATTTTGGTGGGTGCACTGGGTCTATGGTTGAGGGAACCTAAGTTGGCAATTGGCAGCTGGCAACAGATGTGCCCTTTGTTGTCTTATCTGTCTTCATCTGTTCTCTCAATGACAGGGCTGTCACCTTTCCCAGTCATAGCCCATTTGTTTACACAGACTCCTGTTTTGTGTACGACACAGAGCTGCGTGAGGCATAAAAGTCCTCAAGTTTAATAGAGTGGACAAGAAGTCAGAGATCTCAGAGCATCCAATGTGGATGTAATCTGAGCAGAGCCAAGAGATGCTCTTCTCCCTGGCAAAGATGTGGGTCCTTTCTTGTTATAATCAGTAGGTTGTATAATCAGTTTATTGCATAGGATTCTAACACAGAAATCTATAGTGTTTGTGGATAGAATTCAGGTAGTCTATAAATTTCAGAGGGAAAATTTTAAGTCTTTATTTTCACTAACTTAGTATTTAGCAT